ATTTAGTACCAGGGATTGAACCCAAGGGCGCTTAACCACTGAATCACATCTCCAACCCTTTTTATTTTTTATTTTGAGATGGGACCTCACTAGGTTGCTTACAGCCTAACTAAGTTGCTGAGGCTGGCTTCAAACTTGGGAGCCTCCTGCCTCAGCCTCCTGCCTCAACCTCCTGAGCCACTGGGATTACAGGCAGGTGCCACTAATATTTTAAAAGCTCTAATGCAGTGTTTTTAACCAGGGGTGATTTTTCCCTCCAGGAGACATTGCTACTATCTGGAGAAGTTCAATTGGCATCTAGAGGGTAGAGGCCAGGGATGCTACTAAAAACACTACAAGCACAAGGATAACCTTCCACAATGAAGAATTGTGAATAGTGTTAAGCAGGAGAAACCATTAATAATGAAGGCAGTGTTATTAGAAAGGGATAGTCAGATTGATTAGTAGAACAGAATAGAATCCAGAAAATAGATCTACACAAATACAACCATTTGGTTTTAAACAAAGATGCAAAACAATTTAAGGAAGAAAGGGTGTTCTTTTCAACAAATAATGTTGGAACAACTGATCACCCATATGTGCATGATAATTGGAAATGAAGATGTAAAATATAACCCTGAATCTTTTTAACAATGGAATCATAGAAAATGGAATATAATGAAACATAAGCCTCAGTGTGAATGACTAAGAACTTTAAAAGACTGCAGTTCTATGAAGGGCAGAATGCACATATAAGCTGTGAAAATTAGGAGGAGACATGGGTGAGGAGGGGAATGAGTGTAATCAGAGATACTAGGGAGGGCTGAGGTGGGAGGATCCACAAGTTCAAAGCAGCTTAGAAAACTTGGTGAGACCCTGTCTCAAAATTAAAAAAAAAAGGAGGGGGGGGGGCTATGGATGTTGCTCAGTGCTATAGCATCTTTGGGTTTAATTTGCAGTACTTAAAACAAAATGGAGATGAATATAGTCCTTTAAGAGCTGCTTAAATAAAAGATGGCATTGAGAGAGGAAGAATTATAACAAAAATATTCACATTAACTAAAAAAGTGCAGGGTGTATAATGAAATCGACTCTTTTACATTTCTTCTACCTACCACCCTCTCTTCTTGTTTGAAGAACTGAAAGATTTCATCTACTTTGATAATATGATAGCCTATCTGTGAAAAAGGCTCGAATTTTAATTCAATTACCATCTCAAAACTGACATTTAGTCTTGATATTTAAGAATAGTACCATATAAATGGGCAAAGCAAAAGTAAACAACTGTTGTGTCCGTAACAACTAAAACACTCAGGGTCACTCAAACTGGGCTGCATGAAATGATTACACAAGAGATACCTTTTTCTTTGGGTCCTGTGAGGGCTCCTCTGACCTTAAGGGTACGCAGAAAGAGAAAGAGAGAGCACATGCTGAACCCTTTTATTGAGGGGGAGCCATTCAAATGAGGCAAGGGGTCAGGTTTCAGGGGGTTGAGTCTAGTTTTGTGAAGTCGGCTGTCAGCTGGTTGACTGACATCTAGGAAGGCCACATCCAAAGGCAGAGAAAGAGCAGGGGACACACAAGGGTGGTTCCATGGAACATTCTATCCCAAACAGGGCAAAGGAATAGTATTACAAAAGAATAGATGAGTGTAGCTCAACCCCAGGGGTGACACGCCTTCTACTTCCTGGGCTAGGACTAAGCCCAAGTCACCACGAAATGTACTGTTTGGTCACAGCCTCTTGCTTCAGGACTGGAAGACATGGGTCTTTCAAAGTGGCTCCCCATAAACAATCTTTCATATGCAATCGTATAGCAAAGGGCTGCAGACTATCAAAAGCTTGCATCTCAAAACTGTATCTCTTATCCCTGTAATGTTTCTAAATATTATGGAAAGGAGGGTCTGGGACTATGGCTCACTTACCTGGCATGAGGTTCTAGGTTGCATGAGGATCTAGGTTCAATTCTCAGCACTGCATATAAATAAATAAAATAAATAAAGGTCTATCAACAACTTAAAAATATATTTATTAAAAAATATTATGGGAAGGAGACACAATGTTACTTTCAAATTTTGAATTATACAGAGTCCTAATCATATCAAATGTGGCTGTGCAGCTGTTGCTCTCCATCATTACATTTCTTTACATATTTTAATTGTGGCTAATGCTGCTGGTTGAATTAAAACAATCATCTCTGAATATTTATTCTACCAATTTCTCCTAAAAAAAGAGAAGAAAAATGCCTATGGCAAGCATCCTGGACATAAACTATAACAGGAATCCTGTCCAAAAATCATACTGACTGAGGCATTGGCCTGTGCTTACAATCCCAGCTAGTCAGGAGGCTGAGGCAGGAGAATCACACACTAGTAGCCATCCTAGGCAATTTAGCCAGACCCTATCTCAAAATAATTATTTAATAAGAGTCATAATGATTTTGAAATTTATTCCAGAACAAATTTATGAAATTTTACATAAAAATACCCTGGATTGTTTATTATTATCAATCATGTAGTTTCCCCCCTTGAAGTAGATGCTCAAGGAAGTACACATTCAGAATTTGAAAAGGAAAAAGGAAATGAGACTTAGAGGCTTGGTATTTCTCCAGTCGCAATGTCATCCACCCATGCAGTGATGCACATTCAGAAGATCTCACAAACACACACACAAATCCACACCCTATCTCCTACCCCCAATATTACTCTCCACCATCACAAAGCGCTTTTCCTATACACATCCTTGTTACCCTCTCGCAGTTGTTGTTTTTTGTTTGTTTGTTTGTTTTGTTTTTTAATTCCACTTGTTATAGAGAGACCGCTCAGAAAACAAAGACGGAATTTGAAACAAATTAAAGAGCTTCATTACCTGGCCAGGGACACTTCTGCTATGCTCAAATGGCCTTCTAACAGAAGCGCGCCAGGCTGTCTGCGGTTCCAGTATTTAAGGAGGAAACCCACATACTGTGGAATCTGCGAATTGCAAGCAAGCAAGGTACAAGAGCTGAGAAAAGCAATTAGTGGAGCAGTCAACAACCGCACCTGGGTTCGAGCACAGCTGTGGGTGTACATCCTGGGTTCGAGTGTACTTTGTGGGGTACAAAGTACAGAAGGCAATATATATTGTTTTGAATTTAGCAGAAAACAGCTTTTATTTTGTTTTCTCAACAAAAACAAGGTGGAGTCGAGACTAGCTCCCACTACAGTCTAGCACACTGGGGCCTTCCTTTGCCCATTCTCCGGTACAGGACCAGGCTAGAGGCTTCCTCTTGGTCAGCCTCCCCAGCAGACGCTCACGTCCCACATTGGAGGTCACTCTCCCAGCTCGTGGGCGCCCTCCACTACTGCCTGCTTTAAGAACCTCTGCGCGCTGCCGGGTTGAAGCGTATTCCAAACTGCGGCCCCGCAATGCCAGTGTGGTCACAAAGGCCAAGCTCGCAACTCCGGATCTGGAAGGCACAGACCACTCCGGTTACGCCCATCCCACCCCCCACCCCCCACCCCCCAGCTGCGAAACGTTTGTCCTCATTTCCTGGGAGGCTCTGCGGCACAGTATGTCTACAGGTGAGTGGTCGAAGCCCGGGGCACGGAGGTACTTAGACTGGGCTGTGTCAAACAAAAATTTCACTAGACGTATTAAACAGACATGGAAGACGTGGTTAAAGGAGTATTGCAGGGCTGGGGGTGTGGTTCGGCGGTAGAGCGCTCGCCTGGGTTCAATCCTCAACACCACACGAAACTAAATAAAGGGGATCTGGGTGGTGGCTCAGTGGCGGAGGGCTTGCCTAGCACAGCTGAGGCACTGAGTTTGATTCTCCAGCACCAGGTAAAAAAAATAAATGAATAAAATAAAGTTATAAAAATATTTTTTTTTTTTAAAAAAAATAAAGGTATTGTGTCCATATACAACTAAAAAAAAAAAAAAAAAAAGTATTGTAGGGCCAGGGTTGTGACAAAGCGTAGAGCACTTGCCTAGTATGAGCAGGGCACTGAATTCGATTCTCAGCACCGCATAAAAATAAAGGTCCACCAATAACTAAAAAGTATATATAATAATTTTAAAATATTACTATAGTCAATGTGGAATACAATAGTCCCTGGGAATTTATAGCGCGCGGGTAGGGTGAGAGGTTAGTGGATGGTAAAGCACTAGGGGAAACTTTAAAGGGTTGTGAGGATTCTGGTATAAAGTGGCTTGGGGAGACTCTTTCTGGAATGAGGTTCACACGGAGGAGGCCTAGGCAAAAACAATGCTCCGAGGAGTCTGATCAAACTTTGCTCTAGGGGATTCCTTGTCAGCTCAAGGATTTTAGAAGGCTATGAGCAGCTTGGTTGGAGGCAGTTTGGGCCTCTTTGGTTAGCCATACCATTGCAGCCATCTGAGCATGCCTTCTATCGCTTTGTGGACTACACTTCCCAGAGGCCTCTAGGTCCAGTCCTCCCTCTCGCGAGAACTAGTTCTGAGAACTGGGCGGGATTTTCTGACCGGTTTGGGAGACAGCTTCAGGGCTTTGTGAGGGCTGGGTTCGACCCGTTCCGGCCAGAGTGAAGCGGAATTGAGTGGAACGTAGGGGGCGTAGGTGAGGCGGCTGCGAGCCGGGCGTCTCTGAACCCCTGGCCTGTGAAGCTTAGTGGATGGGGAGCCGTGAAGGGGAGACTGTGAGGAGCGTGCGAATGATTCTTATTGAGTTTTCCCAGTGGGCGTGTGTCTGTGGGGTCGTGTACGGACCTGTGAGGAAAGGGAGGAAGACTTGATTAGCGATTATGATCGCGCGTGTATGAGTGGAGTTTAATTGTGTAATCACTTGTTTTATTATGGTTAGCGAGTGTGAGGTTCCTTGAGCGTGTGTCCGCTTGGGAGACGTGTGTTTATGACGTTTCCCAAACTGTGAGTGGGGTGTGTGTAGGATGCGCTGAGATTTATTTTTCGCTTTCCTCCATGTGTGTTTGTGATATTGTTGTTGTAGGGTGCGTGTGAATTCGTTGCTGTCACTGTGTCCCCTAGGTGTATGGTACTGAAAGTGTGAGGTTCCTGTGGACCCCGCGGTTGTGACTGTGTCCGTCTCCGTGGTGTGTAATTGTGCGCGGCCGATAGCATTAGTTTTGGGTACCTCTGACGTGTGTTCCCTTGGTGTGTGTTTTTATAACTATGTGTCCTTATCGCCAGTGTGTAAGTGGGGCGTCTTTATGCCTTTGTGACTCCAGCCAGATTTGTCCGTTCAGAGACAGATTCTGCCCGGAATTGCAGTGACCCTGATTTTCTCTGATGCTCCAAATTTCTCTGTCCAAACTGTATGTCGGGACAGTCGGGGCTGACCTAGACTGACCTCTGAAATGGCCCGTCTGACCCCCAGAAGAGCCTGGTGTTTCCTGACTCCTTTTTTTCCTTCCCCAGCTCTGCGGTGCTTAGATAGAGGACTCCAGAGAGGAATTGAGAATGGCTGTCGAACATCCACAAGGCATCTGAAAGGTAGCTTGTCGTTTCCTGTTTCTCTTGAAAATTCTTGCCTATCAGGTAACATGGTTCCTATAGTTTTCTCTTTGAAAAACTGGTGGCTCCATACTCCAACCTGTGCTCCCCACCACTTAATTTTCCGATTTTCAGGTTGTTTTAATTCTACTTTATAATGTATTTTTAAAAATAATGTTTTTCTATAATTATAAAAGCAAAATATGATTATTTGAAATATTTTCAAAAGTACAGGCATCACCAATGAAGAAAACTTAAATTCCTACTAAAATCAATGATTTTTAAATATGTCCTTGCAGTACATTTTATGGGTGTGTATAAAATACAGTGTTTTAAATTTTTTTGTGGTTTTGTTTTGTGTGTGTGTATTTGAAGTCTTTTAGGATCAAACTCATGGCCTCATTCAGTGTGAGGCAGGCCTAAAATAAAGTTTTGAAAACTTGAATTTACACATTTACCATGCGGCACATCCTATCTTTTCACATGGAATCATATTCAACTACTTTTCCACTTAGCTTAATTTCAAAAAACACTTTGAGATGCATAATACTTATTTGAATGCTTGCATTTTATTTTCTTCTAAATTATACACAGAAATGGCATAAAACACCTGTGGGTATAGTTTAATAAATAATTATAAAGATACATTTAAGTAGTGCTGAGATTAAGAAATAGAATACAGTCATCACTGAAAAAAACCCTCATTTGTCCCATGTATAATCATAAACAACATTATGTTCCAATACTGATAATCACTGTGATCATTTCTTTGCCTTTCATTAGAACTTTAGTACTTATATATGATTTCCCATACCATATTGGTTTGGCTTTCTAGATGTGTATAAACAGAAAATTTTAGTATTTTTTCATAAAAAGTTAAAAAGAAACCACAACTCATTTTAATGTTGCTGAATATATACTGTACCAATTATAAGCATATTATAATTGATTTATCTGTGCGAATTCTGATTTTTGACTCTTACAAGTAATGGAACTGAATCTTTTCTGCATTTATGCTTCTCTTCTTTTTTTAATTTTTTTTACAATTAAGAAGTACAGCATGCCTTTATTTTTTTATGTGGTGCTGAAGATCAAACCCAGTGCCTCACACATGCTAGGCAAGTGCTCTGCCACTGAGCTACAGCCCCAGCCCTGTGCTTCCCTTCTTATAGCCTATATACCTAGGATTAAATTGCTGATGGATAGGATTGGTGTATCTTCATTTTTGCTAAGCAGTACCAAAGTGTTTTTTCATAATACTGTGCAGCAGTTTAAAGGGATTCCTTTTGTTCCATATCTATTCCAGCTCTTGGTATTGTCTTACTTTTCAATTTTTCTCAAATTGCAATGTGTCTAATGTTATCACATTTAATTTATATTTCTTTCATTATTAGTGAAATTCAGTACCAGTTCTTGGGCATTAGAACATTCTCTTTATCTAAAAATTTTGACAAATTGTTGGCTCCATTCGCCAACCTCTGCTCCCCACCACTTAATTTTCCATTGTTTAATTCTACTTTATACAGTATTTTAAAAATATTTTTTAGTTATAATTTATTTATTTTTTAAAATTTATTTTTATGTGGTGCTGAGGATTAAACCCAGGGCTTTACACGTGCTAGGCAAGCACTCTACTGCTGAGCCACAACTCCAGCCCCTATATTATTTTTTTAAAATAATGTTTTTCTATAATTATAAAAGCAAAAACGTGATTATTTGAAATATTTTTAAAAGTACAGACATCTCCAATAGAGAAAACTTAAATTCCCATGGTTTTTTAATATGTCCTTGCCAATACATTTTATGTGCAGGTAAAAATATACTTCTAAAGTGCTCCTTCAAATATTTTGTCAGTTTTTTAACTTTTTATTTTTTAATTTTCATCCATTTTTATTATTATTATTATTAAATTGTTATTATTATCAATAATAGTAGTAGTACTAGTAATAGGAATTGAACCCCGGGCTGCTTTATGACCAAGCTACATCTCTGACCCTTTTTACTTTATTTTGAGATAGGGTCTAGCTAAGTTACTCTAAAGGTAGCCTTGGACTTGGGATCCTTCTACCTCAGCCTTCTGAGTAGCTGGGAATTACAGGTGTAAACCACCACTATGCCCCACTTTGCCAATTATTAATCTCTGATATAACAGTATGTGTGTGGGGGAAGACTCATATATATTCTGCTAGCCTTTTGTCAGTTATATGTGTAATAAATATTTTATCCTGTTTGGGTCTTTTTCACTCTTTGTTCTCTTTGGTTGAAGTTCTGAGTTTTGATAGAAAGAAGGCTCTTCCTATGATTAGTGCTTTAGAAATTTTCTTCTACCTTGAAATAATGAAGATTTTCTGCGTTCTCTTCTAAAAGCTTTCTATTTTTTTGTTTTAACATTTAGGACTTTACAATACCTGTAATTAATTTCTATAGGGAAGGACTCATTTCATCTTTCCCACAGTAGGGGAATTCAGTTGCTCCAGTATCATATATTTAAAAGTGTATCTTTTCTGCAGTGATATGAATGCCAGTTTAGTAATAAATTAGGTAACTGTATAGATCTGTGTCTATCTTTCAATTCTATATTCTGTCCCATTGATTTGTTTGTCTCTCCTTGCAGTAATACCATACTACCCTATTCATTGTAATTTTATATTTGGAATAAGTCCTCTCACCTTTTTTCCTCAGCAATATCTTGGCCACTTGAATTTCCATATAAATTTTTGAATTGTCCTGGTTCCACCAACATCTCTTGGGATTTTGATTGTATTGTATTTGTGTGTGTGTGTGTGTGTGTGTATGGGCAGAATTTGATGGGTAGAAATTTGAGAATTCATCCAGTAATATAAACCTCTAAGTTAATCAGGGTCTTAATGTTTTTTAACAAGGTCTGGCTTATCTTCTATAAATAGTTCTAGATAATGAAGCATCATTTTGTATAGCTTTTGTATAGTTGGTCAGGATTTTGAACACTTCAGGTAATGATCAATCATAGAAAATTTACCTGTGGTTTTTTTTCTTTGTTTGTTTTTTATTTATTTCTTACATACATGACAATAGTGGAGTGCATTACATTCATAATTATCCATTCACAGCATAATTTTTCGTAACTCTCCATATAGAACCTGTGCTTTTTTATAATAAGGAACTATGACAAGTTTCCCTTCTTTTCTTCCTTCTTTTAATACTCTTCCTCTCTCTTTCCTTCCATCTTCTTCAAGAAAAGCAAAAATAATAGAAAAATTGAAATGACCATTTACTAACTTGAACAGTTAGTTTATAAGAGAAAAGTCTTGGAAATTCACTTGCTGATGTGCCATAGAACATGAATTCCATTCACACGCACATGTTCTTTCCCAAGACCAATAACTTTAGTTTGCAGTTAAGCAGAACCATGACATTCAGTTTTCCTCAATTCATTCATGAGCTTCAAAGTATTGGACTTGGAGGCAACAAACAGGTTACTGGTAGTAGTACCTGGGATAAGATAAAACTCTGGGTAAAAGTTCTTTTTGTAAAAAAAAAATAGTTTTAGTAATACATAGGCACAGTACCTTTATTTTATTTGTTTACTTTAATGTGGTGCTGATGATCGAACCATGTGCTTCACATGTGCAAGGCAAGCACTCTGCCACTGAGCTACAACTCCAGCCTGATAAAAGTTCTTTTACATGTTATCCTGACATTCCTGCTTTTATTTTCCTTTTTTAAAGGCATTTAATTCTGTTATGCTTTTATTTCAATTTCCCTGTGTTTGATTTTTGATATATATTCGTCTCCTTTTTAGTTTGTTTCAAGGAAGTTTGTATTTCCATTTAGGTGTAGATGTAACATGAGAATTATAATTATATAGGAGTGCATTTTGTCTTGGTCACTTTTAAATTTTGATTAAATTTCAAACTTGCATAAGTTGTAAGACCTGGTATTAAGTATTCCTTTGTTACTCATATTCACCCATAGTTACATTTTGGCCTGCGGGCATTATCACTCCTGGCATATACACTCTCTTATTCTTTCTCTCTCTCTTCTACACACGCACACACACATACACACACACACACGCAGACACACACAGGCACACGCACATGCACATACATGCACACATGGAAAACACAAGTTTTATCTGAACCATTTGGCATTATCACTCCTGCATATGCACTCTCTTATTCTTTCTCTCTCTCTTCTACACACACACACACACACACACACGTAGGCACACGCATACGCACACACATGCATACATGGAAAACACAAGTTTTATCTGAACCATTTGGCATTATCACTCCTGCATATGCACTCTCTTATTCTTTCTCTCTTCTACACACATACACACACACACACACGCACACACACACATGCAAAACACAAGTTTTATCTGAACCATTTGAGAGTAAATGTAAACCATTTGTCCCTTTTACCCTTTACCACCTCAGTTTATAATTATTTAAGAACAAGAATATTCACTTAAATAACCACAGGGAAGTTACCAAGCTAATTTTAATATTCATATGATACTGTTATCTAATCCACAATTTATATTTAAATGTTTTTACTCATCCACATAGTATCCTTTACAGGACATTACTCTCTCTACTACACACTCCAGGATCCAGTCTGTGATCACATATTCAATTTACTTATCATGTCTCTCTAATCTTCTTTAATTTGGAAGAGTTGTTCTCTCTTTCCTAGTCATTTATGACCTTGACATTTTTGAAAGGGATAATCTGGTTGTTCTGTAGAATACCCCTTCATTTGGGTTTGTCCTATGATTATTCATGCTTACATTCAGGTCATGGATTATTTGGCAGGACTGTCTGTCACAAATGTGATACTTTATTCTCAGCACATCACATTAAAAGATACAAGATGTCGACTTCTCCCATTTTTGAAGATGTTAACTTTGATAACTGATTAAGGTGGTATCTACCATATTTCTTCACTGTAATACTATTATTTGTTTTTAATTCATAGGTAATATGTGGGAAGATGCTTTGAAAATATAG